AAAGGCAGAATGTGTAAAAAAATGTCAAAAACTGAATGGTAAAGGAAAGTATGTTAAGACCGGATAGATAAGACTGAAAGGTCTGTTGAAACTAAACAGTTCGACATAGAAATTATCAGATTTAATTAATATATTCATTGTTTAGTTGTATATGTTACCGGAAAAGTATGAAATCCGGCATTCTATAGAATGCCTAGGCCAGGGGTGGCGAACCTTTATGCACCTACTTGCCATTTTTTCAAAAAATTGTTTAATGAGGTCATAGACGTGCCGTCAAATAATTTTGACTTCGTGATTATTGGGAAAATAATAATACTATCAACTCAAAACTCTTTTATTTACTAATAAAAATAATACATTTTGCAATGTCTCAGTTATACGCGTAATTCAACTTAAAGTAACATCAGTATGACTTCTGTTGTTGCAGATTAGATGACAAATAACTTATATTGTGTTGTAAGATGTTAGTTTAAGCAAGACTGATAAATTTTTTTTGCTAGTTATTTATTGTTAGCTTGTTTTTTATGGTTATTAATTGTTATTTGGAATTAATTGTACATTCTTTTGTTAATAATTTTTTTTTTGTGAATTTCAATTTAATTGTTAATATGCTTTATAGTGAACTTTGTGATCGGTGGCGTGCCCAGAATATTGTGTCACGTGCCATAAATGGCACGCGTGCCATTGGTTCGCCATCCCTAGCCTAGGCATTCTATACAATGCCTAAAACTAGCCGGCAAAGTGTGAAATGATTTATATTTCACACATTGCCTAGGCATTCTATAGAATGCCAAATGAGAAACCGGCAAAGTATGAAATAAACGTCCGAGGTTATTATGTAAATGATGTGCAGGTTACTGTGAATAACCGAAATCGGTGGTTGTTGACTTTCACCGGTGAATGTTGACAATCACATAGTCGCTTTAGTGAATGTCCGAAATATTTATTACATCCGATTCGATATTAATTTATTCGTGGATATAATTACATTTATTCGATATTTTAATACTTACTGACGATAGATTAGAAGAAACATCAGTGTTTGGAATATCGGGCAAATATATACCGGGCAATGGTACTGATTGACCTTGAAGAAATATCAGTGTAGGGTATACCGGGCAGTGGCACTTAACTAGACCTAGTATATATTTCGGACATTTACCAAAGGTCTAGTCATATTAGGTCTAGTTAAGTGCCACTGCAAGGTATACGTTTGCCCGGTATACCCTACACCAGAGGTCGCCAAAGTGGTCTATATAGACCCCCAGGGGTCTATTTAACATAAGCGGGGGCCGATCTGAGGCAGGGGGTCGAATGGGGCTCGATCCCAACCGGAAGGGTCGATTGGTCGAAGGATTATCAGTATTTTTCAGATATGTGACAATTAGAAATAAAAGAAGAAGACTTGGAAATATATACAGGTAATCTTCAAAAATTGAGCGACGATTTTAAACTGCGTTTTGTTGATTTGGAAAACATTGACATCCCTGATTGGATTATTGTGCCATTTTCTGCTCAAATTGAAAACGTGGACATCAACCTGCAAGATGAGCTTGCTGAATTATTATGGGGATTTGAAGCAAAGACGCTTTTTAAAAATTTAACAATAAGCAAATTTTGGACAAATATAAATATAATGCAAAAATATGTAAGACTTTACGAAATAGCTCAGCCATTTATGATAGCATTTCCAAGTTCCTATATGGTTGAAGCCGGTTTCAGTCACGTAAATTCAATCTTAACTAAGAACAGAAATAAATTAAATGTGGAGTTTCGAGGGGATTTAAGATTAAAATTGACCAATTTTGAACCCAATATAACGTACCTTGCAGGAAAAAAAAAAACACCAGGCACACCCATGTCATTGATTAAGAAGCAATAAATCCGTAGTTACTTTACTTATTATTTCTACTTACTTATAATTACTTATTATTTCATAAATATTAAGGTATTTATATTTCAACATTAATATATTTTTCATAAAACTATTGTTACACTATGTACTATTACTTTAATAAATGTTCAAAATCATAAAATAAATGTACAAACACAGTATCTAATAGAGTTTTATTTTAATTAACAGAAAATTACTTTTATGGGGGTCGATGGAGATTTCGAAAAATTATGTAGGGGTCGATGATCAAAAAAGTTTGGCAACCCCTGCCCTACACTGATACATTTTTAAGGTCAAGTGCCATTGCCCGGTATATATTTGCCCGATACTCCAAACACTGATCTTTCTTTTAATCTATCGTCAGTAAGTATTAAAATATCGAATAAATGTAATCATGTCCACGAATAAATTAATATCAAATCGGATGTAATAAATATTACGGATATTCACCAAAGCGACTATGTGATTGTCAACATTCACCGATTTCGGTCATTCACAGTAACATGCACATCATTTACATAATAACCTCATCAGAACGTTTATTTCATACTTTGCCTAAATAGCATTTGTCATTCTATAGAATGCCTTGGCATTATATGCAATGCCTAGGCCAGGGAAAGTATGTAATACTTCTGATATTTCATACTTTGCCTAAAAATGTCCGACATTATATAGAATGCCTAGGCATTCTATATAATGCCGGCGTTTCATACTTTGCCGGTAACATATACAATATATCACTTTTGTAAAATCATTGATGAACTGTTTTTTTTTCATTTTTTATAAATAATTTTTTCTCTTAGAAAAAGTCGTATCACACGACCTTACTAATAGGATATTGTGATAAAATTTGATTTAACACCACAACATATTGAATCTTTTTTTTTAAAAATAAAGATAACTAAATAAACATACTTTGCCCCAAGCGCAAGAAACTCATAATTCTTCATAGGACTATAAACGTCAAAAAAGTGTATATATTAAAACAAGTTTTTACTACTTTATGTACCTACGCATTTTTTTCTTGTTTGCTTGCCTTTATTAAGTTTTTTTTTCATAAATATTTCAACTTCTTCCTGTAGTAAACATCATTTCCTGCTTGTGTGTAAATTTCATGTTTATGTATGTAAGACTATTTCAAACTTAAACATCGTGAATTAACTTTTTCTTTGGAAGGAAAAAAAAGTTAAATCCTGTTTGTTTGCTTTAAGTCAACGCTTAAGGGTGCAACCGAATGTAGTGTACTTCCGTCTAAGTTTTTAATATCCCTAAAGCGCGCTTTGTAATTATAATATAAAATGTCATTTTAGCAGACATTTTTCTCTTTTAAAAACATAAAGAGGGTGGTGGTTATATATATATATATATATATATAATCCTGTATCCTTTAAAAAAATATATGTATATCCTTTTTTTTCTCGTGTCGGATATAGGAAGTTCATTAATTAAAATATTAATGGTTTTAAAGCTNTACAAACAATATATGTATATATATATATATATATTGTGTGTGTGTGTTTTAATACAATATTATAAAACGCTGTTTTTGTGATACAAAGTTGATAAAGAGATTAAATAGTTAATTTTTTTAAAGTCTGCTCCTTTTTTTTCTCATCTCATGTGGGATATAGGAAGTTCATTAATTAAAATATTAATGGTTTTAAAGCTAGTATTGAAGTACAGTGTGTTTCGTATTGACCTCCCTTAATTTATATTTTTTGAATTCTTTTCGAAAATGAAGTATCCATTTAAATATACATTGAGTCTGTCTAAGACGAATATTTAGAACGAAACTAATTACCGTTGAAAAAAAATCTTATTAATTCCGGGAAGGAACTGATAATGAGTTGAAGAGAGATTTTTTAAAAACTCCTTTAAATTGCATAAAGCAACCAAACTGGTTTCGAAATTTTTCCTCCCGGCTCTTTCGTAAATGATTCGGCAGATTTCGATAACTTTTTTGTTTCATCCTTATTTTATGAATTTATGACCACCTAATGCGCATACTTTTTAGCTTCATCTCCTAAAGGGATACTGAAAATGTATGTTAATCCTTTAACGTGCCCCTTATTTCTAGTAAAGGTAAATTAAAGTATTTTTGGAATTGAAATTGTTTTAAGAACAGTAATTGATATATTAAAAAAAAACTCATCTAGTTTATAAAAATGCCAATTTTTGGTGGTAAATATATTTAACATGACCTATTAGGAACTTACTGACTTTTATTTTTCTTTATTTATAAAATAAATTCCTTAAATGCTACAAACTTCAAAAGGAATTATGTATTTATAACTTTTATACGTTTTTTAAAAGTGACAAATGGTTACCAATTTTATTCAAACTCACTTCAAGAAAGCTGAAGTTATTGAAAAATGGAATATAAATTAAAAGTGGTAAAACGTGGTGGTAAGTATACTTACCACGGCCTTGAAAAGGGTTAAGGGCATAATTCCGGAACAACCTTCATAATTAGAATTATGGTCAATCATGGGTAGAATAAAATGAGATATTTAAAACTAAACAAGAACACAGATACATTTATTTTAAATGCTTTTTTATACACACATTTTTAATTTATAATATATACATTTGTTTAATTTTGTGGTATTTAATGTTTTAAGACTTAAAAACACACGTCTTTCTTTGCAATTTAATGCCTGTTGTGGTTGTTGAAATGGAATCAGATGTAAAATTATTCCTTTAAATCTTCAACATCCATAATTAAAAGAGTTTTTCTCAGAAAAGAACAGTTGTTTAGTTCAAAAGTTGCTTTTTGGTGTAACTCCTGTATTTTTCATTTTCAATAAACAAAGTAATGAGTTAAATTCAAGAATTGCATATTCACTAATGATACCTTTAATGCACTGCTTTTAAAATAGTTCTTTTATCATATATTAATATTCTTCAATAAATGGCAAACTGATATAAAAACTTTTTTTATTCAAATCTTGAATGTTGTTTAAATTGTCTTTTTCCTGATTTCGCTTCTTACAATTTTAGCATCTTAGATACATAATTATATAACATATTTGGTCTGAAGTTATATTAATTTTATACCTTCATATCCTATCATACCTTCATATAACATCATGTCTTTTCCTTCATATTGTTTTTTCTGTTATCTCTTTTAATTTCCTGTCTCTAATTAGGTAACGTTGCTATCTTTTTTGAAATCGCTATTTCTCTTCTTTTTTTGAAATCGTTATTTCGCTTTCTTTTTCGATTGATTTTTTATTGATACTTTTGCATTGCTTTCTCTTTGCATTCTTTTGTGCATTGCATTTTTGTGTGCATTTCTTTCTTTAGTGCATTGCTTTCTTTTGTGCATTGCTTTCTTTTCGTGCATTGCTTTCTTTTACTGCAATGATTTCTTTTTCTACCATTGATTTCTCATCGTTGCATCGATTTTTTTCCTTTTATTTATTTCTATTTTTCTGTATTGCTTTCATTCTATTACATTGCTTCAATTTTGTGTTTTATTTGATTTTCATTGCCCTTTTTTTAATTTGATTCTCATTGCCGTTTTTGTAATATACATTATACGGTTTCTTTGCCTTTTTTTCTCCGAAAAATAATAGATTTTGATATTTGATTTATATATAAACCTCTTCAAAAAATATATATTTGGTTTCTCTAAAATATTCTAAACATATTAACACCAGGAATTTTACATATTTTAAATTATCGTGGAGCAACGATTATTTTAGTACGTGTCCGGAGATATTTCCTCTATGAATTTTTGCAGCAATAAGCAAGATCCATTTTTGTTTCAAATTCGCTTTCCAGATAAAATGAAATAGTTAAATTGAGAAAAAAATTATATTAATCTAACTGAATTTCGTATTCTCTACAAATACTTTCGTTGCCTTAAAGGTTTTTTCCATTTTGCTGGATCGTATACCATTTTGGCGTAACTGTCGCCGTACACTGATGTGCCAAACCCTGCGTACGTTAAAGGATTGGAAGGTGCAGGAGCCGGTACTCCTTTTCTGTCAAAATACAAACTTGGTTTGTATTTATAAGCAGGTAAGGAATCATCCAAATAAGCATCATCTGCAGGGTATTGTTCTTGATGTACATATTTATGAGCTCCGAGATCTGTATATTCCTTGGAATCATAAGCTTTTGGTGGCGAATGGTAAACTTTATGTGCTGCTTCAATTTCAGCATAAGTATGACCTGGCTCTATTTTTGCCGGTACAGCTACATGCGAAACATATTTGACGCCCTTATCGTAGTTATCTGGCGATGGTTTGGTTTTTAAATAATCTGAAAGCTTGTAGCCGCCAATGGATTTCAGGAAGCTGTGATTTTTATTGTATACCCTTTTCTTTTCTCCTTTGTAATGGCCAGATGGAATAGCATAATCTGTTCCTTTGTAGTGACTCCCAGGAATACTTTGGTATTCAGTGCCTTTGTAGTGCGTTTTGGGAGCATCTTGGTACTCGGTGCCTTTATAATGTTCCACTGGAACTTCTTGGTATTCGGTACCTTTCTGATGTGCATGGTTTATTTCTTGATAATCTTGATTGTACTGTGGAACACTTTGGTATTCTGTTCCTTTGTGATGCTCCACTGGAACCTCTTGGTATTCGGTTCCTTTGTGATGTGCATGGTTTATTTGTTGATAATCTTGATTGTATTGTGGAACACTTTGGTATTCTGTGCCTTTGTGGTGAGTTTGTGGGTGTTGCGTTCCCTTGTAAGGAGTTCCTTTATAGTGAGTATCTTGATCTGGGAAAAAAATTTGGGAATTATGATCTTCAGTGTATGGAGTACCTTTGTGATGTTCTATTGGTACTTCATATTCATGGGCAGCATATTGTGCTCCAGGACCTGCAACAGTAAAGTTCATACAATTAGTTAAATTTCCAACAATGTAGTTTTTGAAATATACAACTTATATAACTTAGAACTTATTTGAGAAGAAAAATTACATTCTGAAAACAACTAATATGTTGAGTTTTTTAATTACTATTTTGTAACACATTTTTTAACAATATAATTATGAATGTTTGATCAAAAAAGTAAAAAGAAAAGTGACGAGAGTAATTTTAATGATAAAAAGCTACCACTAGTTATAATTAATAGAAATTTTTAAGCTAATTAGTTTAACTAAACAGCAATAAAATAGAATAACGAATGTTGAATATCTGTGAGAAGTTTTATTCGAGTTCACTTTTAAATTTTATTTTACTTGAAAGCATATTTAAAACGTAAAAAGCTCATTACAAATAAAATTTTCAATTTAAGCTTCACTCTCATATGAAAGTTTCAATAATAAGTATGCATTAATATAATCAAATAATAAATATTAATATTGCAGCATAATTTGATATCTTATTATGATGAGCGCAAATTTATTGCATAGATTTGTACATTTTAATATATCTAATTGTGATTTTAGGCATCAGTTAATGATGCTTTCCGTATAAATAAGTTTTTGTTTTGCATGAACATTCAGTTTGCATAACATATTTTTCTTGAACATTGAAACAAATTGATTTTCATCAAAACACAAAATCTTTATGTGCGAGCTATTTCTTAAAAAAATGACATGTTTTCATTCAGTTAAATGTATAAACTTCTATTCCGAGTTGCGTAAATAAAGAACTTAATATAAAACCATAATAAACGAGAAAAAAAAACTGAATTCTTCGAGCCTTTTGAAAAGCAAAAATGTTGTGTTCGAATTTAAGAGTTTATTTTCAAATTCTATTATTCATAACGAAACACAAATAGCAAAATCATGAGTGATACAATTTATTTTGACACATTATTTTGACATCCATTATTTTGACATCGATTATTTTGACATCCAATTATATAACATCGAGATTTCTTTTTAAAATTTATTGTCGAGGCATTAATGAAAAAAAAAATGCATAAAGGGGGAAATTAATTATTTCATAATCAATTTCCCCCTTTAAATTTTCTTTTTTGCTTTCCTTTAAATAAACTGAAATGACGGAAGGTTTGTAAATAATTAAAAAAAAAATTTGTGAAATATGATATTTTGATAAGTAAATCTGCTGATTTATTCAACTTATAATTTTTTAGATTATTTACTACGTATATTTTTGTTACAATTTTGTTTTGTTGTTGTTAAAAAAAGAAAAAAAGAAAGTTTCTTCGAATGTGCTATTCTTTTTTTCTAATATGCCGTTTTTGGCTATAACTTTAAAAACATTCAATAAAATTAAACAAAATTTTTGGAACAATTTAAAATTAATAACAAAATTTGAGAAAAATTTGTTTGAAACTGTGAAATATATGAGTTATTAAAGTAATTCTTTTATACTACGCATGCGCGGAAAAATTTATAAATTTTTTTAAATTTAATTTTGCAGTGAATCGTATTTAGCAAAATAAGAAAAGTCCGATTTGAATATATTAAAAACTTAAAAAAGTTTCAAGCAATTTTTTAAGTAATTTTCGCACTATTAAAAAAAGGGGCTCAAAATAAGGGGTTTTCCACGAATTTCATTTTCTACTGTTACACAAGATTTATTAAAAATGACACCGGCATTGTTGGGGATCAACCCTCATAAAAGTATCTTTTCTTTCGCATGCTTTCTATCCTTACACAAACATATTTCGGCGTATGAACGTTTATTGCTAGGAATTACCATTTGTTTTTTAATTATGTTTTATAATACAAAATATTATTTGTAAAAAACCACTGATCATTTTGAGTTTCTTTTAAAAATACATAAACTACTTGGAAAATAGCTTGATACTTCCTAAACTTTTAAAATATTCAAATCGGACTTTTTTCGTTGTGTGTCAAATACGATTCATTACAAAATTATGTAAAAAAATTGGTACATTTTTTCGTAATATAATGCACAGTATAAAATAATTACTTTACTTTGTCATATCTGCCGGCCAGGTGGCCGAGCGGTTAGCGTGCCTGACTGCGGAGCCAGTGGCTGCGAGTTCGAATCCCGCTCTGGGCATGGATATTTCTTTCTCTCTATTTGGGTTCTATGTCCTTTCTCCTTTGTGTGTGAATGAGACCCACCCTATAAACGGGGTAGTGTGACGTGGGCGACGCTGCTCCACCGCCGTGGCTTCGCCACAGGTGCCCACTGGGTAACGAAAAGAGAGTTAGCAGTTCTGGCACTTTCTGTGGCCAGTGGACAATAGTTCCAAGTGCCCGCCATTTAAAAAAAAACAAACTTTGTCATATCTTTCGCTGTTTTAGACAAATTTTTCTCAAATTTTAAAGTAATCATTTTGTTATTAATTTTAAATTGCTGCAAAAATGTTGTTTAATTTTATTGAATATTACAGTAAAAAAAACGTAGGACAAAAAATATCCATATCTCCATAAATATTTAAGGTAGGCTTACGAAATTTTAAGCAATTATTGCATATAAGAGCCAAAATAATTGTCACAAGTTGGAAATTTATTGCTATATTTTTTGACATAGGGTGTTAGAAAATACTATTTTTCATTCGCAATTTGTTGTCGTTCCCTCAAACCTCTAAAAACTTTAAATTTCAGTGATAAGTACGAGAAATCGCATGATCTAAACACTATTAGTATAAAAGATATTAGTATAGAAGTGTTTCTATTATTTTGTCCGCCCTTGTACATTAGTATAATTTCATTCATTTGAGTATAATTTACATAAGACTTACTTTAATTTCAAAAATGTTTTATTCCCTTATTATTTTTTCTCCTAGTACCTAAATATCCTCCATTTTTAATGGAATTGTTATATTACCTTACCTCAAGCTAGAAACAAATTCAGCCCTTTTTCCGAGTTTACTTTAGAAATATAGATATAAAATTGGTAAACATTTAAACTTTCCACTTTTAGAAATGTCGGTACAGAATTAAACCATAACATTGGTAGGTATAGCTCGTTCACCAGGAGTTGGCACTTGGCTCCGCCGTCATCACGTGGTATGCGACGATACTATTTCGCTATTTTTGGGAGAAGGTTGTGAGCAAACTTGAACAATGTTGCCATTTGGCGATCGTTTGGCAAAAATATTTATTTCGCAAACTTTATGTGCATTTTTTTAACAATGAATATTTCATAAATTTGATGATATTTTACACCATTTTTTATGATATTTCTTTCTTTTGAGTGAATAGTTTGTCCTTTATGAGACATTTCGCTGGGAGAACAGCAGTTTTTAAATTTAAACTATATTTAATTAGCAAGTGTAACAAAATGTATAATAGTAGATGATAAAGCAAAGTAAGTGACTGAAAAAGAATTCACTTTTTGTGTTTGGCGCAAATTAAGGGTTGTCTCAATTTCAACAACGGAGATGTTTCTCTTCTAACTCCCGCGCTGAAATGAACTCTGCGTCCCAGGAGGTGGAGCCAAGTCTCAACTTCTGGTGAACGAACTATACTGGTTTTGAAAATATGGAGGCAAAAGGTTACCAGAAGCGATAATCCGTTTGGAGTTCGATACGTCATTATTGGCAACTTAATCGCCTGCGCCGGTATAATGGAAAAGTGCCCACTGGTATTTTGAGCCATAATATTAAGAAAATCTCTGCAATCTTAATTAGTTTTTAATACATAGAAAACTTAGTTATAGGTAATTATTATATAAGTTATAAACTTGGTAAATCATTACACATATTTTCAGGAATATTGGTTCAACATTGAGCCATAATATCGATATTTTGAGCCATAATGTGTCTTTTGATCCATATTTTGCTTGAGCTATAAATGCCAAGCAAATTTGTTGCAACCTTAATTAGGCATTAATGGATAGATTATTATCTTGGTCATATATAACTATTATATAGGATATAAATTTGTGAAACCATTACATTTAACTATTATATTTTCATTAATATCGGTTTAAATTTGAGTCATAATATTGGTATTTTGATCTATAATAGCAAGAAAATTTGCTGCAACCTTGATTAGATGTTAATGCATAGATTATGAACTTGCTTATCAATAACTATTATATAGGTTATAAACTTGTTCAACTATTATATTTAACCTTTATATTTTCAAGAATATCGATTCAACATTGACCCATAACTTCAGTATTTCTTGTCATAATCCCAAGTAAATTTGCTGCAACCTTAATTAGATGTTATTACATCGACTATAAATTTGGTTATAGATAACTATTATATAGGTTATAAACTTGGTATACTATTAAATTTAACCTTTATATTTTCTAGAATATTGGTTCAACAATGATGCCTAATATCGGTATTTTAAGTAATAATGCTAAGCAAGTTCGCTGCAAGCTTAATTACGTGTTAATTTTATCCGCTCAAATTATGCTGTGTATTTTGAAATAAAGTTCTACAAAGATTGCTTTGCCCAATAATATGGCTGAACGAGGACCGTATAAATGTTGTAGCAAGCTTGACAAATAGCAAGCACGTATAAATGTAATATAGTTCTACACACCACAAAAACTTAAAATGTGTGTATTAGTTCATTTAAAAATATTAGAAACTTTAAAAAAAAAATCGAAGTGTACACATTGCCAATAAATTTAAGTATTTGTAACTAAATTATATAGATCAGAAAAGGAAAGAATTTTTTTTTTAAAGTTAGTGCCAATTTAACAATTTTGTAGCCATGTTTATTTCTATGACTTACCATAACCATAACCATTGGCATATTTGTGATTTTTAACAAGGTGCTCTTGAGTATAAGCTTTAACGTGACCATCACCATAGCTTGTGCCATACTTGTGACCGTCACCATAACTGTGCTTTAATTTACCACTAGGGTTAATATACGCACCTCCTTTAACAACAACTTCTTTGTAGACTGGCACTGGATTAAAAAAGTAATTTGGCTTCTGTCTTGGTGGCGGAGGATGATGCCTACAGAATATTTAAAGAAATATAAATATATACATGAATTAAGAATAGGTGACATATGCGAAACATAAAAAACTAAAGTGAATGTTTTGCAATGCTAAAAAATTAGATGTTCCGTGAGCATAAAATCGGGCACTAGTGTAAAATCCGGTCTATCATTTTTGGCAAAATTAAAAAATAGGGCCAAACAGTACGATTTTTCGCCAACAATGGAAAACTATACATCAAATACGTGATTATTCTTTCATCGTTTTTCATTGTAATAGCATTTTTTGTTGTTGTAGTGAAAAGTATTTTTATGCGTAGTTTTGCTAAGAAGGAACAAAAATTTGTTAGAACTGCGTTACAATATTACAATATGAAGCAATTTGGCGTAAATTTGTCAGAATTTTCGCCAACTTGCCTTGACTGTGAGAATATTAACGGAATTATTTTCCTACACATCACCTTTTAGGGTATCTTAACACCAATAATGACGGCAACTACTTTATACCAATGTGGTGAAAAACCAAGACAGTTCCGGGGTGGTGAAACACCAAGAATGCTCTTTACTATATTTGGGGGTAAAGTAGATGCCACCATTTTTGGTATTGAAATAAAATTATCGAAATTTATTGTTATTTGGCAATTATTGAATTGTAATCAATTCTGTTGTAAATCAATTGTAAATCAAATTGTAAATCAAATTGTAAATCAATTATGCGCACTGCAAAAAAAATTGGTGAATAGTTGCCACCATTTTTGATGTTGAGATAAACTAAATTTCTTGAAATGTGCTTGATTTTTAAACGAAATGTTTTTGCAAAGAAGACATATTTTGATTCTAATGTGCTTGAAAATATGTGTTGTCTGTATACAAAAAAATGAGTATATAAACAGTGAAAAAGTGAATAAAAAATTTGACTACATGCACGGCAAAAATTTTTTTTACTGTGTCGCCCCGAGAGAATTTTAAGACGAATTTGAACTTGGCTTAACAGAACCGAAGTAAATTGAAAATACACATTAAAAAACTATTTAATATAGTTTACAGAAACTTAAAAAGTAAAATATAACTATTCTAATTACACAGCTACTGAAAACATGCATATTTTTGTTGTGAACTTTTATTTCAGTTAGTGTATTGCATAATTGAATACAACACAAATTTTCACCTATTTGTATTCAAATGTAAAAAATCCCCAGACGATATCCCAAACGTGCCAAACATTGGTGTTTTCGGAAGCAAAAATATTCAACGCATGGTATGATTGCTCGTGAGATTAGTGTATACTTTTTCCATTATAAGAGTTTTAGATTTATTTAACCCTTTAAATTGTATATAAAAGCCCGATTTGGCTTTAATTTGAAAAAAGTGTTCGCAATTTTTTTTTGTTGCTTATTTAGCATTAAGTACGGAGATATAGTACACCATAGTTTTTTTTAGTGTAGTCGACAGGATTTAAAATCGTTATTCTTTAAACGTTAACAATTATTCTTTAAACGTTAATCATTATTCTTTAAACGTTAATCATTATTCTTTAAACGTTAATCGTTATTCTTTAAACGTTAATCGTTATTCTTTAATCGTTATTCTTTAAACGTTAATCGTTATTCTTTAAACGTTAATCGTTATTCTTTAAACCAGTACCTTGAATAATTGATGAACCATTATATATTTTACTTATAATACCCATATTGTAATAATTGAAGAAAAATATTTTGAAATGCACATTATGCAACTTATACGTTCAAAAACTCTTACTTATGACTTGTAATAGTTATTTTAACAGAGACTGGAAACAACAGGGGAAATAAAAAAGCTCTTCCTGTTGATAGTAAAGTGACAAAAAGAATCACTGTTGAAGAACCGTATTTTAACAGCATGGCATCTAAAAGAAAATAATAAGATGGTTTTAATAATGTTTAACTAAAAAAGTTCATTTAAAAAAATTATAATGCAAAACATGATATAACTAGCCGCCTTTGATAATCAGCTTTTCGCTTTACATATCATAAATGTTATGAATAATGTTCCAATTATATATATAGCGTAAAAAGAGGGATTTTATTTTATAGTGCGTTCTAACTGAAGTGCGTTTTATATGTTAGTTACCAAGGATAGGCCCGAAAATGGATGTGCGCAAAGTCCTTCCATTTTCGGGCCCATCCTTACGAACTAACAAATCAAACGCACTTTAGTACTAAAATAAGAAAGCTCTATAAAGTAAAACCCCTCTATTTACGCTTTTACCTCAATTTGAACTTCTGTTTTCATATTTTGTAATCTGGCAATCTTGCTACGAAAATATTTTAAATCATTCTTGAAAAATTTCCCGTTCATGTAAGTTCATTTGAATTCGCTCCTCGCTTTATAGATTTCGTTTCATATTTTATTCTGTTTGTATTTTTTATTATATGTTTTTATTTTCTGATTTTATGTGATATTATGTTCTATTTTATTTGTTGTAAATTTTTTGCAAAAAGTTTTTACTGCTAATTTATTGTATTGATATATTTTGCTATTTGTTATATTGATACAATATTAGAAGGCACTCCTTTTTTGCGGATATAATCGTGTGAGCTTATGAAAAGATTATATCTTTTATTTTCCGGCTTTTATTATTTTTATTATTATTATATTTCTTTTTCCCTTTTATCATTGTTCTCAATTTTTTCCATGTTTCCTCTACATCAGGGGTCGCCAAACTTTTTTGATCATCGACCCCTACATAATTTTTCGAAATCTCCATCGACCCCCACAAAAGTAATTTTCTGTTAATTAAAATAAAACTCTATTAGATATTGTGTTTGTACATTTATTTTATGATTTTAAANATATAGCGTAAAAAGGGGGATTTTATTTTATAGTGCGTTCTAACTGAAGTGCGTTTTATATGTTAGTTACCAAGGATGGGCCCGAAAATGGATGTGCGCAAAGTCCTTCCATTTTCGGACCCATCCTTGCTGACTAACAAATCAAACGCACTTAAGTACTAAAATAAGAACGCTCTACAAAATAAAACCCCTCTATTTACGTTTTTACTTGAATTCGCTCTTCTGTTTTCATATTTTGTAATCTGGCAATCTTGTTACGAAAATATTTTAAATCATTCTTGAAAAATTTCCCGTTCATGTGAGTTCATTTGAATTCACTACTCGCTTTACAGTTTTCGTTTCATATTTTATTCTGTTTTTTTATTTTCTGTTTGTATTTTTTATTATATGTTTTTATTTTTTGATTTTATGTGATATTATTACTTAATGTGTTCAATTTTATTTGTTGTAAATGGTTTGCAAAAATATTTTTACTGCTAATTTATTGTGTTGATTTTACTATTTGCTATATTGATACAATATTAGAAGGCACTCCTTTTTGCGGATATAATCGTGTGAGCTGATGAAAAGATTATATCTTTTATTTTCCGGCTTTTTATTATTTTTATTGTTATTATATTTCTTTTTCCCTTTTTTCATTGTTCTCAATTTTTTCCATGTTTTCTCTACATTTTGGACTTATATATATAAACACACACGCATCGAATGAAAGGGGACACGTGACTGTTCAGATTCTGACGTTAGGTGTGAAAAGAGATGGGGAAATATAACAGCTGGCTTGTATTTCAGTTCTATAGAATTGTATCAGTTAAGCACTAGTTTTTGCATTCCGTTACACTATACCAACTTTTAAGGTATTGAGAGGCCTAAGTCGAAATATTTCAGGTTTCGATTATTATTTTTAGGTTCAGTGGTTCATAAAATAGTTTTGAGTGTGTAATTGTTTACGTTTTTCAAATTTACTCAATTCTTTCTAAAACCAATTATTCGGTTTCAGCGCATAAATACATTTTTTGATATGCTTGTAATATTCCCTTAGAATGGGAATTACACGCTTTATTTCTTATTGTAATTGGGCAGATATTTCACTTACACTACTAAATTGGTGTTTTTTTTCTTCAAAAATGAAAAAAATCGTGCCGTGAATTGTTAATCTTAACTTTTCTGAGCAAAATTGGATTTAGCAGGCTATGTAACTGATGTGTTATGTAACAAATGTTCTTCATAGTTATGGTTAAAACATTTATTATAAATCTTTTAGTAGAACTAGCTTCATCGATGTTACTGCTGAAAAAGACTTAAAAAATGTTGATTTTAAAATTTATGTTGATTTTAAAATTTTTATGAAATGTTCTTTGCATAAACTATGTATTTTTTATTTTTGTAAGCACTGTTGAACTTTTTCAATATATTTACATAAAAAATCAATTAATTAAATGCACTAAATTCCATAGTTCTTGCTAAATAATTAATTCACATTGAAAGATTTTTAAAATGAAAAGAATTAACTTGTTTTCTCAAGTGACAGGTTAATTTGCCGTGGATCAATTTGTCTTTTCCCATTAGTATAAAGTAGTGTTTCCCAAACATATGACTTTTGTGTACTCTTTCGAAATTTGTCGTTACGCTGTGTACCACTAATAAAAAAAAAAAATGATTGTATTTTTTACTATAAAAAAATTGCACAAAAGTTAAAAAATAGTAGATAGAAATATACGTAATCGTAAATTTTCATGGATAGATTTGTTTTTAAATAAAATTTTTTAGAAAATTTCGTTTGTTGCAAGATATTTCGCATAAGAACGCGTACCCCCGCTAAACTGCTCCCGTACCCCTGGGGGTACGCGTACCACACTTAGGGGAACACTGGAAAGCGTTGATTAAGTGTTTGATGAAACGAAATGCGTAAGAAATCATTTTTTTTAGCTAAGGTCAAATACATGTAAATGCAATTAAATTTGAGATAATAAAATAAATCTCGTTACCAGGGACAAATTTTAGAAGTTCGTGTTAATTGCCTGAACTGAATCAAATTCGATTAGGATTTCTTTTTATTCTAACACTTTTTCCGGTAACTAATCTAGCTTAATGTGCGTTCTTCGTACGGGGTAGAAGAAAGTTGTAAATTACTGGTATTAATTAGAATGTAGGTATAGTTATACTATATCGATAATTGAAGAGTGATAATCTATAAAGATAAAAGCAATCTTAAATCTTCTTATACGAATGACCATTTAATTTCTTAAATTTTACATAAGAAGAAATTTTTAATAAGAAAAATGGTGTTTTCACGAGAAAAAAATCATATATGCAGCAAAAATAACCGAATGATAATATGCATCTACTACTTGATCTGTTTTACTTACACAAACTGTAGGGAAGAATTTTATCGCGCAATATCGCGTGATCGGCAACAAATCGTGCTTTAAACTGAAAGGCATATATGAACGCAATTAAATAACTCAGAATAACTTTAATTTCCTTATAATTTGTTGCTTTTTATTATTATATTTCGCCATTAAAAAAAATGCTTTTAAAACATGCTGAAAAAACATGCTTTTTGTCACGGCTAACGTACTAAAACTAATATTTACCTGAATCAAGCAGTTTATTACTCAATTAACACTATCTATATATTATTTAGGTTCATTGCAACATGCTTCAGTTGCGCAATTATAAACAAACTGAACAAGCTGTTTCAAATAGTTTTAAAACTATTAATCCAGCCACATCACCCCACGTTATACATAATTTTACCGATGCGGTGGCAAATAAAAAAGATTATTAAAGAAACGTACCGTACAATTCCACTGAAATTCACGTTTAATTAAATTGAGCTGTAAGCTGACAAACATCTCTGATGTTATCTTTTAAATAATTGAAAAGTAAAAACGTTTTTCATACTTCCCGAATTCCATTTTTCATACCCCCCTCCCGAATGTTTCAACAGTTTTTAGGATTAGGGGCTAAAATTGCTACTGGCACCTGCATAAACAATTCTGGATTTATAAGAAAGGCACACCCAAACTTTTTCTTTTATTACTATACTAGCTATATACAAGTATGAATAAAAAATTCAGGAACTATTAAATCGATATTAATCGCTATCATATCAAAAATAAAAGATTTATATTGATTCAATAAACCTCTGCGAAGTCAGTTAAAGTAATTTCCATATCTTTTTATTATTATTTGCATCCTTCTCAAAGATTAAATAGCCAAGTGATAAAAATAGCCAAGGGCACTTTTCCATTCAAGTCGTCCATTTTGTTTGACTTAATCTTATAGAATTATACGATTATTATCATGCGCAAAAATATGTTTATTGTTATTTTTTAAGAAATTTATTTAGAATATTTTATTAAACCTTGTATGAAAATTATAAGGCTTAAAGTTTTAATGATTAGTTTATCTGTTTATCTTCATTGTTACTGTATTTAAAATTCAATTTCGGATACTATTCGCGTCTTGTGAATAGTGTTGAATGTTGTCTATCCTAAAGAATTTTTTATTTAAATTTTTGAAATATGATGCAAATTGTCACATTATATGCACTAAATAAGTCTTTATATGTTTCTATTTATGTAAATATTATTATTATAATTATATTTCTCATAACTCGTGAATTTTCTTAATGTAAAATTTAAACTTAATAACTTCTTAATAAAGAAACTAAGAATATGCATTTAAACGGAGCGAATTTTCAGTTCCATTAATTTTTTTCATTTTAGCAAACATAGTTTCAAAATTGTGTAACTCAAATTAAATTTTATGCTAGAATAATTCAAAATACGATTTTCTTCTCAAAAACAAAATTTAAAGCGTCTGATAGTTAAAAGTTTCATTTATTTTACCAATTATATTTTTTGCTTCCAATTTGCGAAAAAAAGGAGAAATCACTTAAAAGATTTTGAAGAATTATACTTTACTTAGAATTATATTTTTTATTTTATGATGAAAAAATAAATATCTCATTAGAAATAAAATTATAGAAAATGGCACTAAAAGAATTTATAGTTCCATTTGAAAGACATATTTCATTTTAATAAACTTG